CCGAGCCGATGGGCCATTATTCAATTTCACAGATAGGCGATATCCATTATTTCCGAACTAATTTAATTGCGGACAAGTGTTTATTGCACAAGTATACGAAAAGCGATTCGCGTGGGCGGCACGTGACGTGCAGAACTAGGCTGAGTACCCACCAGTCCGCCACTACCCGGCTAGTTCTCAGATTGCACAACTAATGAATCTAATCAATAAAGCCGTACATGCTGGGAGCATTGTTAATAAAGAATGAAAACTGTGCCGAATATTTGTTGCTATTTCACGTTATTGGAAACTAGTTCAAGATTATAATAATTAGCAAAAGGTGCGGCTGTTTATTCTCGGCACACAACAGCACCTCGACAGCTTGTGTACAAACAATACTTGTTTGAGCCAGTGAGGCACGGGGCAGAAGATCTCAAATGAAAGATAGTGTTAAGGATTTAGTTTCATATAATTTTCTTTAACAAATGATCAATAGAAAATTGTATAATTAACAAGTAGCGTCTTAACAGATACTTCGAAATTATTAGTGTTGTAGGTAATATTTTACAAATACTTTGGAATGTTCATATAAACATCTCATATGAATCAATGTACATGGGACTCCACGTTTCACTCCACCGTTACTGTGACCGCACCAGCTCCACGGAGGCGGTACAATTATTTATTAGTTTTTGTGGGGCAGAGCGCGGCGGCTGGGCGAAACACAACATACGTCAAACACATGAAACTGCCATAGAAATGGTCCGCGGGTCTAGGGTAAAACAAGCGTCCAGCCGCCGCGCCCTGCCGCAGCTCTGTGATCTCACAGCCTATTAACAAATTTGCTATTTTTTTGTACCCATCGCAGTGCCTGCCCTCGGACGACATACATAGTTAACAAGACAGAGAGCAACTTACAGACTTACAAGGAATGCTATACCTTTGATTGTTACTAATAATTGTGTAGTTTGAATACATCAATGATCTTTAACGTTGCGACTGTGCTCTCGACCAAGGAATTATAAATTCCAGTAGCGTGAGTGAATAACAAAATTATCGAATACGAACAATCAAATGCACAGCAACCCGACGCGCGACGGCCGACACTGGCCAGGAGACTACATTTTATACACCATCCAATGTTGTTTCAATTTTTACAAAACTAGACATAATGGAGATTCATAATGAGATTACAATTGAATATACATTACGCGAGGCCATGCTTAGCAGGGTGAAATGAAAATACAACCGTTAACCGCTTAGTTAGGCGCCTTGGATGCACTGATCATCGAGATTAACTAAATAAAGCAGTCAATAAATAAACGATCATAAATATCTAATAAATACCTACACGGGCTATATTTACAAAAAAAGCCTTCCTCATCGACGGCACATACTCAGCCTTTAAACAAATATAATACAGCACTATCCCAGCGGGATAACAGGTATAAATTAAAAAATAAAGCTGCCGGCTTAAGACTTGTATTACAAAATAATACTGACACCAGTAAAATACTCTATCCGCGAGATGGAATGTGCGGGCCCTCGGCCCGGAACGGCAATAGGAACCAACTGCGCTACTCGCTGCCTCGCACAAGCCTACAATAAATTCATCACAAATTCTATTTGTATAGAATGGAATATTAATAAATACAATTAACATTGATTGACAATTATCTAAGTATAGCGTCGTGGCGTCACTGGGACTGTCCGCTATCTCAACAAACAATAACATGTGGCATGTGCAGCGGCACACACCTTTCTGCACCAAACAGACCCATTCCTGTAAGTACTGTTTTGATTATCAAAAGAGTCAGACTGGGAATGGATCTATTTAGTGCAGAGCAGCATCTCAACCTTTTGTATCAGCAGATACAGTGCAAACAACAATATAACATATAACAGCTCTACTTGAAGCGAGTAGCATTAGGTACATGGTCGTTGTTCGATCTCACACATCCGATACACACTGAACTTGAACAGAATAATACAGATTACAATCCACAAAACGAACACTGGGGTAAGGAGACTGAAATTTTCAACTTTAAGAAATGGAACCCACTGCGGAGCAAATCCGAGAGGTATATACAAAAGAAATTACTTTTGAATAAATTATAAACTTCGTAAAATAATTATCACATAAATTTCTCCTTATATCTTCCGTTCTCTCCACATAACTTAACACATAATCTATCTATAATATGTACACGACATACAATATAAACAAGAGACGCATTGTCCAGCGATTGTCCACAAGTGAGGAGCTAGTGGGGCAGGTCTGGCGGGGCGGGCGGCGCCTTGCACAGCGCGACGATGCCGCGCGGCGCCGCCACGGCCACCAGCTGCACCTGGCCGCGCTCCTCCGAGAACGGCGGCGTCTTGCCGCGCCGGTGCAGCCGCACCCACGCGCCGAAGCAGACTAGAATGGCGAGGAACACAGCAACGGTCGCGCCGCCCGCGATCGACGCTGTCTCCATCATCAGCTGCCGACTCGTCAGCACGTACGAGTCGTCCAGGTCCTTGAACTCGCAGCGCTGACCCACGAACCCGCTCCGGCATTCGCAGTTATAGATCGGACTGTCCGATATGACCACGGTGAAGCACACGCCGCCGTTGAGGCAGTAGTACTCCGAGTAGTCGGGCTCGCACTTGAAGAGGGGGAAGGTGACGTTCATCCGCGGCTGCGGCTGAGGCTGCGGATGCGGGCGCTGCGGACGCGCGGGCCTGGCCGGCCGCTTGGAGATGGAGCTCGAGCACGCGCCCGCCAGCGCCCAGGCAGCCGACACCACCGCCCACCAAACTACCAACGATTGCATTTTCCGCACGATCCGGAGGGTCGGCGCTCGCGGTACGTGCACGATTTTGACATTGGACGGTGACTTATGAGAAATCCGAGAGGCGATGACATGACCGCATTCGAATTTCGAACTGGAACCCTTCGCTCGCATCCGCGTCGGCGGTCCGCCCAGACATGTTTCCTGTGTTAACTTTTTTTTACGTCGACGATCACTCGCTCATGACGGAGGCGCGGTTTCTACGGGCGCCCGAGATATCGCATCGATCCCTCGACGGGCATGTCGAAAGTGAAACACTGAACACTGTTCAAAACTGATAGTCGTGGTTCACGATTATTCACGGAGCACATACACACAATGTCCCGTTCGAAAAGATATACACAAAATGGTGCTAAGAGAATCGCAAGCACACTACGCTCGGTGAGTTGTCTATGCGCGACTGACGGAGGGCGTCCACTGCATCCGCCATCTGCCGACGAGAATGAAATGCGGGGAACTCGACGGCGCGCCGCTGTGTGCGCGCCCGTGTGCGTGCACGGGGAAATTACACTCGTATGCGTCACTCGCCTACCTGTGTGCGTGAGTAAACCTTTTTTTCTTTGTATGGGATTATGAACAAGGTATTTCTTTTTCTCAGCGATTCCGATCCTCAGGGAAGCATTATTTGTGGATCCTTGAATACATTATGTATAATTTTATCAAGTTTAATACTTTTCTAAATTTTGTTCATATGGATAAGCAAAGTTTTTAACTTTAAGTAGGTATTTACAAGTTTTATAAATAGACGCTAACTTCTTTACCTATGTACTAAGTTGCGTAGTACCTGTGTGTGATGCAAGTTACCAGTTGTCCACTGTAATTAACTGGTTGAATAGACGCCAGAATGTGATTACATTTACTATTCTCAAACTATTTAAAGAAACATTATAATACCTACCAGATCAGACCAGATCCTAGATAGGTAATAAATATTAACTCCAACGATTAACTCTAACGATCCAAACTGCATAATATAATACAATAGGTAAATTTAAAATAAACGGAGGTACGTTTAAGCAAATTGGTAGGAAAAATATGTAGTTCAAAAATATAATAGTGTAGGTAATTTAAGTTTGACTTTCAGTACTTGTTGGATAAAGGAGGAGAGGTGTGGAGTCTTTCGAAAAAAGACGTAAGTACCTCGAGCATTTACCATATTGCACTGTAAGCTTGTAAAGTATGAGCTTACAGTGCAATATGGTAAATGCTCGAGGTGAACAGAAGAAAATCCAAAGAAAGCTTCAAAAAAAAAGTAAGCAGGCTGACTAAAACTTACACCAAACATTTGTAACAGAAATATGCAAACATTCATATTTACTCGAAACTTACAAGTTTCCTTACTGATCAAACCAACAAAAAGTGTCCGCAGGAATGTAAGTGGAAACATTCATTGATACTGGTGAAGGATTATTATTAACTGAAGATGTTTGTCGTATAATAATATCTAATCATTTTAGTAAAGCTCACTATATGCTCATCATACAAAAATATAACAGCGTAATTGATACATAGGTACATTAAAAAAATACATATCATCCGATATTATTACTGCTTAAAGAGCTTAATACTTTATACTTAATTTAAAATATATAAAAAGTTAATCAAAACTTATTTTGTTACTTGATTCCTCTTATATCACGTTAATATGTACTTTTGTATTATCGTAGTGTTTCAAATTTAAACTAAACCTAAATTGATTCATGCCCGTCTCATCACTTAATGTGTTTGTAAAGTTAGACCAAAACATTTCATCTTCTTGCTAAATATCCTACCGAATACATAAATTATCCTAAACGATAAAAATAATAATAATAATGGCTGTACATTGAACATGAACCCTAACTTTTAAGACACTAAATGGTTGCTTCCGTAAAATATACTTGCTACTTTATAAAATATGTTTTTGTATTGTGCGCTACGATTTTTTATTGTAGTTTTTTTATTAACTCTATTTTCTAGTGTCATTTTTTAATTTTATATTGTTATGTAAAAATTTCACACACTAGCGTAAAATGGAACGCCATTAGAGTTGTTCTTCGAGGTCTGGCATTTGAATGATAAATTCAATGAATGAACGAATGCAATTCCGGCTTCTTAAAATACGTGATTTCAAATCATAAAAAATCTTGTTAACAAAAGACAATATTTAATGTCAAATTGGTGTACGGACATATGTCAAATTAAGATAAGCACTTATGCAGCGTAGGGCTGTTTTGTTGTTATCGTGGCATTTTTGTAAGTAAAGGCGCTGATGTTTATTTAACAACGTTGAAGTGATAAAGATAAAATGTCTGAGTCCTCTAAATCAAAATCTTCTTTAAATTTAAATCCGTCACCTACTTTACAGTGCAAAGATCTTCATGAATATCTAAAAAGTCGTTCAGCACAGTTTTTAGAGACTTTATATAATTATCCTACGATATGTCTTGCTGTTTACCGGTAAGTTATTGTTTTATGACAACATTTATCGCAACGATTTAGTTGTATTTACAAATTGAGGTTAGGTTTATGTCATTAAAGTTTCTAAAACTCAATCAACTTATAGACTGTTGAGCAATTGCAATAATAATCTATAAACTAAGGATAAACATTGTATTTCTTATACTTAAGTCTTGTATTTGTATCAGAGAGTTGCCGGAGCTGGCCCGACACTTTGTGATCAGACTGCTGTTTGTGGAGCAACCGGTACCACAGGCTGTCGTCACATCATGGGTGTCACAGACATTTGCCAAGTGAGTAGCATTTAGTCCAGCGTACCTAGTTTATAATAACTATTTGTTACAGATCATTTCAAAGATTCATTATAACAAAAGTATTGTATGTTATGAAAATATATTTAGTTATTAATGTTAATGTCTCTTAATAATTTTGAATACATTTAACTAAAGCAAGTTAGAGTAAACAGTTCAAATTAAGTGATTGATCTGAGTTTTGAAGACAGATTACCTGATGATGGCAAGCAATTCAAGTAAGGTTGTATAAACATTTTTGTGGATGTGGCTTTTGAATAATTAAGGACAAAGGGAGAATAGTCTTGGGCCTCTGGTAACTTGTTATTTGGAACATTGCAGGGAACAAGCCAAAGCTTGTGAGGCGTTATCAGAGCTGTCAGTATGGCAGGAGGCTCCTATACCAGGAGGCATGCCAGGCTGGATGCTGGCACAGTCTTTCAAGAAGAATCTCAAAGTTGCATTACTTGGAGGGTAAGAACATACTAAAATTACTGTAGTTTTCAAAATGTACTTAAATCATGGAAAAGTTTAGTACTGTTATAATATCTTTATCTGCATAACATCAAACCTTTTTGTCATGCAAAGAATTATTGGTATATTTCATAATTCTCTATTCTTATTATGATGGAGTTGAATATGAATCTCTGTTCTTAATAGAATGGAGTCTGGTATGTATATGTATGAGTGTAAGGCAGTATGCGGGCTTCTTAATACATGGGAGTTAACAAAACAGGTGATAAGTTGGTTTTAAGTTCATATTACACACTATAGACAGCTCATTTGTGATTATGGCAATGTAATCTATTCCAGTTGTATTAATCCTTCTTTCCTAGCAAATGAAAAGGATTGTTCCTAGAGTATTAATTTTTTCCATTTGCACTCTTTAGTGGACGTGCCTGGAGCATGTCGTCATCATTAGAGCCAGATGGAAAGGCTCGGGATGTGGCTTTCCTTGATGCATACGCTTTGGAGAGGTGGGAGTGTGTGCTGCACTACATGGTGGGCAGCGCACAGACCGAGGGGATCAGTGCTGATGCTGTTAGGATACTGCTGCATGCTGGACTCATGACCAGGTATGTAACGTGATTAATGTGACAGTGCAAATGTAATTTAGAAAAGAGTGTTGTTTTTTAAAGTTCTATGATACTATGACATATCTTTAGTCAGATATTGGTGTGTAAAATCGATGTAAATCTATAACATCTATTTTGATTCAGTGCAGAAAGATGTTCTATGTGTACATAGAACATCTTTCTATACTGACATTCACCAAATCTGGTAAGACAGTGTTGACACCAAAACTAGTTGGGAAAATGTTCAAATATAGTAAACTATTTAGTTACAAAACTATCTCTCTTTACAGAGACGCAGAGGATGGATCAGCTGTTATCACTCGCGCTGGATTCCAGTTTTTACTCTTGAGCACAGCTAAACAAGTAAGTTAAACCTCTTACTTAATAATTTTAATTATTCTGTGCTATTTATTTTTTTGTCTATACACAAGCCACCCAGGCCTAAAACAACAATTTGTGGATCACACAGTGTTGTGGGCATAGAACCCGCTACACATTTGACTGCAGCCAATTTCTCAACTAACTGACCCAACTATGCAGGTACTTTTACAGGTTATTTTATGTGCACCATTAATGTCATAAATGTGTATTGTGTCGGCAGGTGTGGCTATTTCTACAACATTATTTACATACAGCAGAGAAACGGAGTTTGAGTGCAGCAGAGTGCCTCGCTTTCTTATATCAGCTCAGCTTTAGTACACTTGGCAAGGTAATTGAATTCATCTTATTAGATTTTATTCAAAAAAATACATGTTGTTATGGGATCACATCATCAGCATAATAAGCTCATTCCCCTTTTCTCACACGGAGTAGGTTTGAGCATCAACCACCATGCTTGCTCAAGGCGGATTAACGACTTCAAACTTATAATTCGAGATAATAAGTCCATGTTTCCTCATGATATTTTCCTTCACCATAATATGTCAGTGGTGTCTAAATAATCAAAGAAAGTACCACAAGTACAAGTTTTATGGGATATCTATAAGGAACAATTACAATATTATGTTACACACCAGTGACGTATGTGGTGTTTAATGTGTTAATGTACTAATCTCATTATGTACAGATTTTAGGAATTACCATCATCTTGCATCATTATTCTCAAATGGCCTCTATTTTGCTGAAGATTAGTTCTCCATGTGTATTACACATTTATAATTTGTATGTTTCCAGGACTACAGCACTGAAGGAATGAGTAACAACATGCTGGTATTCTTACAGCATTTGAGAGAGTTTGGACTTGTTTATCAGAGGAAGGTTAGTCTACAAACATGTTGATGTATAATTACAATGTATGTCTATTAAAGAACAACCTCTTTTGCTTGCCTTGCCTGATCATATTTCAATTGCAAATTACTACTGTACTAGCTCCCGCCCCCGGCTTTGTCCGCGTGGTATGTTGATAAAAACTAGCCTATGTCCTATTTCGGAGTGTATCCTATACCTGTGCCATATTCATCCAGATCCGTCCAGCCGTTTTGGTATGATTGAGTAACAAACATCCAAACATCGTAACTTTCGCATTTATAATATTAGTAACTAGCGGCCCGCCCCCGCTTCGCACGTCCAAGTATCTCGCTATCAAAGGGTCACTTTTTCCTAATCTTCGACTTCACTTTTCTAATATTTTCTTTGATAGGAACCTTCTCCTGACGATAACAAACGCAACAAAAAAGAATTAGCAAAATTAGTTCAGGCGTTGTTGAGTTATGCGCTTACCATTTTTATATAAAAGATTAGTAATATAGTAAGATAAGATTAGTAAGATGAAACAACTGCAGTGCCAACAAAACATAATATTAATTTACTTAACTCTTTTACTAATATTTAATTTTTATTTTCACAGCGCAAAGCCGGTCGGTTCTACCCAACTCGTCTAGCACTGAACATAGCGCAGGTTCGGGGAGTGGGCGCTACGCCGCTGGCTGCGCCGGCGCAGGCGCGCGGGTACATCGTCGTGGAGACCAACTACAGGGTGTACGCCTACACACAGACCAACCTACAAGTCGCACTGCTGGGGTTATTTACTGAGCTTATGTACAGGTCTGTATTAGTCCACGGTCGCACAGAAAACCGGTGTTTAACAACCTCAGCGTTCTATTTCCCCGTGTTAGTGAGGTTACCGGAGGCTCAATTCCTCCCCCACTCCCCAATGTTTAAATATCCGAAACCCTCATTGATCGACATTGCACTCTTAACTCGTTTGGTGTCTTTAACTATCGGGTAATCCGTCTGCCAGTTCGCCGATCTATCCCATAAAAAAACAATAATTTCTAAGTTACTTGTGCATAAAGTTTCCAAATTATAATAATATGTATCTAAGCTTTGTTACTAACTCAAAAGCATTTATTTCAATTATTCCACATACTTTTGTAAGTTCTAAATAGAATTGTCCAACAATTAACTGACCAACCATTCTCTTGAATTAAACAAAAATTCAATACACATAATGTTAAACATTAGGCAACAGAGACCTAGTAATATTAACGTAATTATAAATAATGTTCCAGGTTTCCCAATTTAGTGGTGGGGGTACTCACGCGGGAGTCAGTGCGGCAGGCGTTGCGCGGAGGTATCACCGCCGAGCAAATCATACACTACCTCGAACAACACTCACATCCACAGGCAAGTTGTCTCATCATCATCATCAGAACTGTGTCCACTTGTAATCTAAGACCTTCCCTTTGTAAAGAGGAAGAGATAGCGTGGCACAATCCACACTTGGCTTACCCTTTACCTTTCCGGCACCAAATTAAATTTCATATTTCCAAGCTATTGGTTGTGTCTTAAATCGTAGTTAGCTTTGTGGTTAATAAAATGAATTAAGCTAGTTATTTGCTTTGAAATAAGTAAGAAATCTTAGTCACTTTCTTTTGGCACGAATGGCGGCTCGACCGGAGTGATACCACGGCCTCACAGAAAACCGGCGTGAAACAACACAGCGTTGTGTTTCGCCCTGTGTGTGACGTTACCGGAGCCACAAACAATTCCTTCCCCCAATCCCTAAATTTCCTAAACCCTAATCCTCAAAAGGCCGGCAACGCACTCGTAACTCCACTGGCGTTCCGTGTCTCCATGGGCGGTGCCGATTGCTTACTATCAAGTGATCCGCTTGCCGACCTATCACCAAAAAAAAAATATTCTTCATAGAAATAACTTAGTTAATTTGTTTATGAATATTTGCATGTAGATGTTAAAGTCAGAGACCGGCGGCATCAGGACGACCTCAATGCTCCCCCCCACGGTGGTGGACCAGATCAAGTTGTGGGAGACGGAGCGGAACAGGTTCACCTACACCGAGGGAGTGGTCTACAACCAGTTCCTTTCACAGGTACCGATAGTATTCCCTAATTTTTATATTAGTGTAATTGGTCAGGTGACAAAAATTGTATGTTTACGCCTGCGAATACTTTCGGGATATAAAACAAATAGTGTCATGTTTTCAATAACAAACTTTAACAGCCTTATTACAAAACATACTTTTTTTTAGTCTAGGTCTAAAACCTATTGAAGGTAGGTGACAATAAGATTCAAAATACAAAACCTGACTCACTGGTTTAACCATAAACTAATCTTGATAAATCTTGTTTTGTAATAAGGGGGTAATAGTTCAGGGTACATTTTTATTGTGTTTCATTGTGTAATTTATGAGAAGAGGGCGTTACAATGTGCGCTTAAATTAACCCCTTCCGTCATCAAAAGGTGGATTACATATAATTCTTCAAATGTCTTCAATATATATCTGACTTTATAATTATAAAAAAGAAATAAAGTTTAAAATCACAATTTTGTCACTCCATAGTATAAAGATAAGTCACTTCATCTATCCCTATAATTATCTCTATGTATGATTAAATCTTTAAAATTACATAACGTATACTGATGCGGTTTTTTAAGGGTAGAGTGATTGTAGAGCAAGTTTTATATGTCCAATAACATACATTAAATAGTGGAGAAATCTAGTATCAGTATTCATTAGCGACCCGCCTCGCTAATATTATTATTTAATAATAATAATATATAATGCTTTACAGGCTGATTTCGTGGTACTCCGCGACTACGCGAAGCAGCAGGGTGTATTGACGTGGCAGAACGAGCGCTCCCGTACTATGGTCGTCACCCGGCACGGACACGATGACGTCAAGAAGTTCTGGAAACGATACTCCAAGAGCTCCTAGACATGCATCATAGATACCTTGGGAAACAAATGTACCTAACAGTCGCTTGACTGCGAACATAAAAAAACAAATTGTTGTACTTTTGGCATGTGTAGTGTATTACAAAAGTCCTGGTACAACTACAAAACAAGGTTTAGATGTTGCCAACTGGCTGAAGTTAGTTAGGCATCTAATAAAAACTAAATATGCATTAAACAAATCGACAATAAGTAATTAATAAACATTGTGAAGTGAATAAATGTACTTGGTTCATTCACAGATTACATGGGATGAAATATTGCAATATCTTGATTTTTTGTTGATCGAATTAGAATGTGACTGCCTATGTATATTTATATATCCAATTAGAACTTTTTCCTTATTCTCACTCCCTTGAAGTCGTATCCAATTTGTTCTAGGACAAAAACTCAGAATATTTATTTCAAATAAACCTATAGAAGGCCCTTTCCAACGACAATAAAAATAAATATAAAGTGTTATTCCATTGAAAGTCAAACAAAACAAATACTTGGATATGGTGTGTCTGTTGGTCAGTCCTCTCTATCCAAAGTGTAGATTCCTATTAAGCAGATGGAGCAAGAAACTCTACAATTAGTGTCATCTTGCGCTTTTGTAATTATTTCGAAATGTGATCTAATAGATTAGATAGTAATGTTGTAATGAATGGAGTATGGACGTTACTGTGATGAGATTTATTATTTTTATTTGTATAGATCTCATTGTATGCGTGAATAGGTCGGATTTTAGCGCTGTGCGTTGTATTCTACCTAAATTTTGTAAATAAACTTTTGTACATTAAAACTTGATTTTTTATTTCTTAACGTTTAAAATAACCTAGAGATATCGGTTAACATTAGTTACTCCAGCGCAGTTTCACCTGCTGCTCGGTTCTTATTGGTAATTATGTGATGTCTTGTATCCAACACAAAAATAATTGTTTCAATTTGAACTAGGAGTTCAAGTCAACAACCAACACTTATACAGCTTAACAAGGTAAGTTTACTAAGTAGCGGCGATTTTTGTGTTTTGTCTACTTTGAAGTCGAGGCTATCAATATTAATTTTATAGATAAATGAAAGCAATACACCAACAATATACCCAAAGAGTATAAAAGGTATAGGGAAACTAATATCTTTATCGGTGCACGCAGTAGGTGGGTACCTACTGCGTTGATTAAAACAAAACTGTATGTGTATTTAATAACTTCGTAAGGGAACCCTAAGCCTTAGCTCCTCCATGTTAGAGCAAGTTGCCACTGATATTACCAGCGTTAACGATATATTCTATAAAAATACTAAAATCCTGATAAACTTCATTTATTTTTATAATATAGTAATGAAATAATTACTGGTTACATTTCACAGTATCGAACGACATAAGTACGGCCTGACGAGGCTCGATAATTGTCATTAACCCAATCCCTCCGTTATTCCTATATCTCCAAAAGCCAAAACTCTTCTAATGTGACGGTGTAAAGGTTTCCATAGGTGGCGCGGATTGCTTACTATCAGGTAATCTCTAATCTGTTAGTTCGTTTGCCGTTATTAAGAAAAACAGAATCGGTATAATTAATTATAACCTTCATGAGGGTTGTTCCCAACGTTAATATAATCGGGAAATAATACAAGTACGCAATTAATATACAAAGTTTATTCCATGAACAAACATTCACAGCATAATACTTAATTTATAGTTCACATTTGAGACGGTAAAGAAAAGGACACACGAATACTATTGAAATTTGTATTTTGAATACAAAATTATGAATTGGGAACAATGTATAAAACTTGTGTAGGTACTTATTTATTGTCCACTCATTGTCTTTTGAGTTTGGCCGTCACTGCAGTTTGTGCCTTCTGTGTGACAGAAGGTGTAAGTTGCAGAAGGTGTAGTGTGTGTGTGTGGTCAGACGGAGGCGGGTGCCGGCGCCGGCGGGGGTTTGACGGGCGCGAGCGCGGCGTACAGCTTGCGGAGCGCCGCCTGCACCGTGCGCTCCAGGGTCTCGTCCTCGGGACACTTCACCTCCTGCCGCCAACCGTATATATTATTTATTACTTTACTAATAAGTCTAAGTGTGGGAGAGCCACGTTTCAACACAAATAGGTCGACTCGACCGGAGTGATACTACGGCCTCACAAAACCGATGTGAAACATTATTTACGTTGTTTTTTGCCGTGAAAATGAGGTTACCGGAGGCCTAATTCTCTATCCTTAAATCCCCAAATAACCCACAAGAAGTCGGCCACGCACTTGTAGTAACTATTTCCTTTTTACGAGTATCCATAGGCGGCACTAATTGCTTACCACCAGGTAATCGGTCTGTTCGGCATCATATCACATCATCAGCCTATAAGTGGCCACTGCTGAGCAAAGACCTATTTTAACACGGAGAAGATTTCAACATGCTTGCTCAAGGCGGATTGGCGATTTCAATAGTTCAGGTTTGCTCGCGATTTTTGACTTCACCATATGTCAGTGGAATCTAAATAATCATAAAAAGCACTAGTACATACTTGCGATACTAGGTTTCGAATCCTCATGCGTCAGAGGCCTTAACCTCCGGGCCACCACGTCCAATGTATAAATACAAAATGAATATTATAGATGAGTACTGACCATAGTGACGAGGTCGATGTCCGCCCGCTTGTCGTCCACGCTGACGTACAGTTTCTCTCCCTTAAACATTTTAGGCACGGCGTCGTCCCCGAACATTTCTTGCAGCATTTCTATCACGCACTCCTGGAAATATAATAAATATTATTAATATTTATACTAGTTATACATTTTGGTAGACATTTATGCGAGGGGAAAAACATCAAATAACTTCTCCCGCCCGGGGTGGGGCAATACGGAATGTCAGACTTACTGACTAGAAACCCGCTTCTGTTGCTGTAGTCCGAGGTCGCGATGCCTTTTTGCGCTTATCTAGCAAACCTGGCTGAATGTATACATGACTTGAAGATAGAAATTTGTCAATTTTATAGTAAGGATTGATATTTATATTGTTTTTCTCAAATAAATCACAGACATTAGATATTTTTTATATCAATACTTGCTTCTTTAAAGCGTTCGCTAGTTAGGAATAAAAATGTAAAAGTAAGTGGTGACCTAGCAGACTGACCTTGAAGTGCATGCGGTCCAGTTTGGGCGCGAGCGGCAGATGTCGGGGCGCGGCCAGCGCGGACGCGGACAGGATGCCCGCCACCAGCGCGTCCGCGAACATGTCCGACACGGGCTGCGCCACCCACTAACAATGACAAAAAAACAATCAAGATTTCCTTCTCCTGCTCACTAGATGGCGCTAACGTAGTTTAAGGGCATATACGTCTAGTCGTTGTAACTGTATTACTAGAAACTCTTTAAGTTTAGTAATATTGTCTGGTTGAAAAAAAAATGTAGTAAATAATAAAATATACTAAATACACGGAAGATACATTACCTCGAGGGTGATCATGTTGTTCTCCAGCGTGAGGTCGACGCAGGAGTAGACCCGCCAGCGAGTCTCGGAGAGGAAGTCGATGGCGCCGGCCAGCTGCATGACGACGTGGCGCAGCAGGCCCAGCGAGCCGCTGTAGTGGATCGACTGGCGCTGTGTCACCTCCGACTGGGTCAGCTCCGTGTACTCTAAGGGGACACGGAAATACGGTTAAAACCATTTAAGTTTATTATTATTACTACTAGACTGCACGGTAGTCTAAGTGTGCGGGAGCCATGCTTCAGTACGAATAGGTCGGCTCAACCGCAGTGATACCACGGCTTCACAGGAAACCGGCGTGAAACCACCACAGCGTTGTTTCGCCCTGTGAGAGAAGTTACCGGAGGCCCAATCCCTTACTCACACGCCAAGGTTCTGTAAGGCCGTAGTGTCACTCCGGTCGAGCCATCTTATTTGTACTGAAGCATGGCACTCCTCTCCTATTTAACTTTATTGTTATACTTCTTTCTTATAAATGGGTAACTTACTATTGAGGTCTGAGGGTGCTAGTATGTGGTAGTTGAAGTTCCTCTTCACCAGGATACCCTGCAGCTGTGTGCCCGGCTCTGGCTTCTCCATTGCAAGGGACCCCATAACCTGGAAGTGAAAATAAATTACTAAGTATCAAGTGTAAAAATGTTACATCTTACTGTGTAATAATATATAAGTAAAACTCGAATTATTTCAGACGTTACTCGTTACTTGATTTTAAGCAAAATCTTATTTATCGTATAATTGAGATGAATGGCAATATAATTGATATTGGGAAGATGAGAAGGCACTTTAATATCAAAACTTTTTTGGGTCTGGGGATGAAACGACTGAGTGTCAGATCAACTTAGAGACTTAGATATAATGACGGAGTTTAAAAAAATATCAAATTCTGTTGAATATAATAATATAAATCGTTTATTGCAGAGACTTGCTCCATAATTTGTTAGTAATACACCTTACCTAAGTATGTTAGTACTTACTATTTAATTAATAAAAATAAAGCCTATAAAATAAACAAAATAATTAATTAATGTATTTTCCTGCAGTATCAGACCCGTAAGTATGCATATAGGTCCAATACTCGAGGGAAACGCCGTCCAAATTATCCCCAATCACCATGCAGTGCCCTGCAATCACCAGGATGCCATTGGCACTGCCAAGATTCCTGCGTAACAATGATACCGTTCTTTTCCTCATGATTGCTGAAAAACTATCGGTAGAAGATGCAGCAAACATGGTTGACGCGCTACAGAATCGCGGCGTTATTGTACTGGACACGAAAAGCGTTGTAGGCCCTCTGCGTATGCTTGACCCACAGGCTGCATGTCCACGACCACGACTGACAATACGCCTTGAAAAGCGTGATGTTGTCTGATCTCGTACATTTTGCAAGCCTACGGGCCAACATATTGTATCGGACCGACAACGCTCTCCGTTCCCGTTATGGTCAGGTAGGTACACCCTGTGACCCTTTGCAATAACCCCAAACACCATGAGGACACTTTTCTTCACAATGTACAGTAGGCCGTAAGTCAAGGAGTATCTCTCACAAACCCAAAGCAATCGTCTGAGTGCTTCCTTAATCGAGAGACGCAGCAGCACCATGTCGGCCGCGTAAGATATGCTATTTATAATTTTACCATCACCAGAACATCCGACCCCTGTGCTGCTGAGTTCCCCGATCAACAGATCCACATACAAGCTGAACAACCTGGTCTGGGGAAGTCAGACCACCCTGCCTTACACCACATTCAAGACCATACGTCTTCGACAAAGCACCTGACCATCTGACCTGATTAATCTGGTTCTTAATTCTGCTCTAGGCAACTCCGGCTGCAGTCAGTTGTTGTCAACAAAATATGGGTTAAAGTATGATTTACTGACAATAACTGAGTATTTAGAGCTTTTTAGTTTCTTCAGGTAAGTGAGCCATTATTATAATTATGTAGTGCTTGCGCTGTAGGGCCGCCTTCAGCCGGGACATCTCGTTCTGTGGGGGGACACACGTACCTTGGCAGTCTTGTCCCCGCGGAAGGTGAGCGCGAGTAGCTGCGTGTTGCGCGGCGTGTGGATGAGCAGACGGCCGCGGTGCTCGCGCTGTAGGGCCGCCTTCAGCCGGGACATCTCGTTCTGCTCGCCGTGCACCAATACCTGGGGGGAGGGGATGGATAATTGGGCTTCCTCAATCCTCACCAACACTTGCCACACAGTTTTTGATACATAAATAAATAGCACAGAACTATCTAAGAAAAAAAAAATAGTTTATTACAAATTAAAATATGTAAACATTTTTTTATTGTATAAGAAAATAGACCATACCACATGCGGCGGCTTCAGTATGTTGATGAACTCGGAGGTCTGCTGGTAGTC